ATTTTTCGTTTCGTATGTACAGTACATAAATAAATAAGTAAATAAAATATCTAGTCTTACAAAAAGTTTTGTATTCACAGAATTTTTTTCAATTTCAATAAAATTCTTTTTAAGTAGAATATTGAATTCAAGCAAGAATTGAGTCTGAAGGAAATATAATAAATATTAAAATTAAAGATGGGCAAAATTTTATAATACATAACATACATGCACATGAATTGGTTCATACGTAATTATTAAAAACAGAAAAAAAAGGGCACTAAGATAACAAAAGAAAATTAAAGACAATTTCTTAATAGTATTCATTAATAAAATGAGGGTAAAACGTATTGAAATATAAACCTTGAAGCTTATATATTTTTCTATACAAAATTATATAAAAATAAACCAAGAAAAAAAAAGTAAGCAAAGAATTACTGTATAATTTTGTCAAATTAAATTTTTTTATGTAGTTACAATTTATTCTAAGCATTAGAAGCTAGTTATGAATTCAAAGTTTCATTATTTTTTAACTAATTGTTGCAAAAGTGAAATATTTGACACTCAAATATAATAATTGGTAAATTATATATTATTTTTAATAAAAATTTAGCAAAAGCTTTTTGACAGAATCAAATTGAAAATTTAATTTTTTTACAGAATTATTATTATTGCTTAAAAAGAATATGAAAGATAAAGATTTTAATATTATAAATTATTAAATAAATAAATTATTGTTCTAAATATTGCTAGCTGTTTTATAGATTTTAATATTAATGATTTGGAATAATTTTTTTACAAATTTATAATACATATATATATAATAGTATGAGATAAAATTTTATTTAGACATAAATTATGTAATCAAAAACTTAGATAAATCCAAGTTCTTTTTTGTCCTTTTGAAGCAAAGTCATCAACATTCTCCATCCGATATTATCATAGTTAAAGTTATAAACTAAAGTATGTTCACAAGAAAATATAGAATCTTTGTTTCTTTGAATTTTAAAAAATATAATTTGGTGATGATTTGTTAAAAATGCGAACAAAGTTTTTCTTGAAAGTTGGTGTTTAAGGAGTTTAATACCGTAATTAATTACTTGTTCGTAATGTGGTTTAATTAATTTGACTCGTTTAAGCTCTCCGATAATAATAACATTTGAAGATGTTGGTTCAGATTTAAATTCAGTCACAGAAATATCAGGTTTTAAACCATCTAAATAAGCCTTTTTACTAGTATTATGAGTTGAATATTTCGGGTTTTCAGAGATTGTTAATTTAGAATAAATTGAATTAAATTCTTGCATAAAATAATCTTGATGAATGTTTTCATTTTGCGATAAAGTTGGTGATGATTGAAGATTTGAATTGATAGAAGATAAAGGAGCGTAGGAAAACCAACTATGAAAATGAGAGCATTGAATATCGGTAACACCGTCAAACTGCTTTTCAGTTTTGTCCATTCCTAAATAAAACATATTTGTGTTAAAAATATATATACTGTGTTTAAATAAAAGATAAAAAAAATACCATCTAATTCCGTATTTAAATTTTCAATGTGTATCTTCATTAAAGAATCTAATACATTTAAGTTGTTAAATAAAAATATTTCACATAAATAAAATTCTTTATATTATACATACTTTCTTCTTGAAGCTTCTTGATTTTTTCTTCTTGCTGACAATACAGACTTTCATATGAAATATTTTGCTGTTCTAATTTCTTATTAGTTGCAATCAGTTTTTTATACAATTCAAAAAGCTCTTTCTTAGTTATGTCAGATATTTTAACCAATGATATTGAATCAATATTATTAGCAGTTTTTGTGTCTATAACATTGGAAATAAAATTTAGTAAAATGCCTAGTTATATAGCAATGCTGCGGATTGCTTGAGCTAAACTATAAGTCATATAACAAATATGGTCCTGAGCCCATTAATAAAGTGGTTTATTTATAAATGGGTCAGGGAGCTATATCTCGGAATGACGAGTTAGTGCTATTTATTTCATAAAAAAGATGTTTTACATTTAATTTAAGACCTTGGAAATCAATCTACACGAATTCATCGTGTATAATAATTTAAACCTAACATGTAGTAAAATAACAGTAAAAGATATGCTTTTTTGGGCTTTAACTAGTGTTCCGATTCTATCTCTGACAGGCCATCCGGATTGAATTCGTGTCAGATTATATATATAAAGCTAGCTTTGACCACATCTTTGGTCCGTTATTTAAGTTCTTTGCCCAATTCGAGTAAAATCTCTGATTTGGATATCTGGATTTAAAGATCAATCTAGGTAGTCGGATTTAGGATCGGAACAACTAGTTTTTAAGATACTTTTTTTTTTTTTTTTTTTTTTTTTTTTTTTTTATACTTTCAAGAATAGTACACAATCACAACCAATAAATAATGTTTTAGTCGTTTATCTCGGTTTAAGCCTATAAATGTCTTGGTTTTGTATCATTGGTTCATTTGCATAAGCTATAAGTTGAGCTAAGCTAACCGTTATAGCACTAATCAGTCTAAATTTTATAAAAACTTTGTAAATTAATTACCTTCAATTTCAACTTTAATACTTTTTATTTCGCCTTTTTTTTGCTTAATAGCTTTTTTGATTTTGATATCTTTTTTTTCATCTTCTTGTTTAACAACAATAATATCTTTTTTTTCATCCTCTTGTTTAACAACAATATCTTTTTTTTCATCTTCTTGTTTAACAATAATAATATCTTTTTTTTCATCTTCTTGTTTAACAATAATAAAATCTTCATTAACTTTTAATAAAGGTGTATCTGACTGTTTTTTCTTCAATTGACTGATTACAGATTCTTTGCTGTTTATTTCAGCAATTTCACTAGAAACTAAATATCATATTTGATAAATACAATATATTTGAAATAAAATTCAACTTAAAATATACTTAAATAATAGTGCTTTACCTATAGATAATGTTGTTACCGACATTTTTGAAAGAATGAATATATATACGATAAGAAAAGTATGGTTTACGTTCAAGGCTTAGCTTACGCATATAATCTGTATTTAGGTAACACAACTCGAAATACTGAAATCCTTGTTATTATTTCTAAATTCATTTTTTGTCATACGTGACTCAAAAAATATAATTTATCACTTGACCAATTTTTTCTCATTTAATTCAATTCTGATATGGTATTCGCTTGTCTATACTAGGAAAACGAAATCCAAAGTCATTAATAATGTTTCATAAAATGATTCCAATGCGTTTAGCAAATTTAGAAAATGATTGATCGATATAAAAGTACCTCTTTCAAAGTGGTAATGTAATGTATTTTTGTATGCTAACCAATTTATTTAGATCACAAAGTTACTATTAATTATGAATAATGCTAAAATTTCTAAAATTACACCTCATTGAACACTGGGCATCACATAGTATAATTGGTCAAGGTTACTTTTTCTTAAATTTTTGTTTTACTAAATATACTGTAAATATCAAGATATACTATATTAGCATAAAAAAAAAACTAACAGAACGGAAATAGATTCGTTGATTGTTATCCCAATAAATTATATACCTAAACTATCTGATTCAAATCTTAATATAAATAAGGATGGTAAAAAAAAAAAAACGGGTTAAACCATCTTTTCTCCGATTTAAAACAAGTGATTATTTAAGTCCGAATAGTTAAATCTGGATCATAATCATCACCTGTTTTTTAATTACGTAAAAAAAAAAAAACATTTGTCATCCCTAAATGCAAACCGAGAGAGTTTTTATCTTGTAAGTAAACTTTGTTATATGTAAATATTCTACAAATCAATCCTCCTATTTTTGAAATATAATCGTTAGAACTAAGTAATTATTACTAAAAAAAAAAAATTAAATAATGAGACCTGAGGAAAAATGCCGAAAGAAAACTTATAACTTAATGAATAATTCAATAATTGCGCAAATGATTTAAATTTATTTAACGGATCCTTGCCAGAAAAGATTGCAATTCATCTTAAAAATATGTAACTTCTGAACTTTGTAGTAAAAAATTACATAAAGTTGAAAAAAAAAATCATTCTACATATTCGTGAAAATATTATAAATTCATAAATTATTGTTCGATTACATCCATCTCAAGATCTAATGCCCCTTAATTACTTGTTGTTTTTGATTTTCAAGTCTAAAAACCTCAGCACCATTGAGATAAAATATAGTTAGAAAACCAGGTAATATAAAAACTGTTATTGTGAATTGGTTCAATCTGATTATTCAACATATTCTTAAGAGTAGTATTAGATGGAACTTGAATTTGACGGCCTTGCTTGTCTACGAAATACACCCTCGCTACATCAAAGGTTACTCTTTCAATTCTTGCTTCGACGTTATCGTTAATATAGAGAACATTTATATTATTGTTTTTGTAGGAAAAACAACCCTTGTAAGACATTGTATTGTTAGAAGTTTCAAGAGGATCGTTTAAAAAAATCTGCTGTTGACATTATTTGTAGTTATTAATTTCATTTTGAGAATAACAAACAATTTGTAAGGCTTAATAAATTCAATGTTACACGGATCACACAATATCCGCGGATTTAAAGACTTACACATAAACTTAAACAGTGAATACCTTTTGATGAGATGATTCTAACGAACCTACAATATAATCGTTAAAATTCGATCATAAGATATTGAGATCAAATTTTAACGATTATAGGTTCGTTAGAATCACCTCTCCAAGACAGTTATTTTGGCGATAAAATTATCATTACATAAAAACTTGTTCATTTTGAAAGTAGAGGGTCTATAAAAAGGCACAACTCCTTAAATCCGCAGATATTTACAGATCAGTTAATTGACTATTAACGGACTGTATCTCCTATGGCCAAAAAGCAGGCTGTCTCTTCTATTGTCAAAGAAATTTTATTCAGTAGTTTATATTAGAGCGTATACGTCACTCTGGTTATACCAGACATCTGTATAAACCAAAAGCTAGTTATAACAACATTTATTTAAAACTTTTTTTTTTTTTTTTTTTTTTTTTTTTTTTTTTTTTTTATTAAA